CGGGCGCGGGGGGGGGGGGGGGGGGGGGGGGCTGACCCTGGGAGATCCTTGGGTCAAAAAAAAACACATGCCAAGAAGTGGGATGGCACATGTGGTGGTAGTATGCACCGCTCAAAACTGTAACCTGGCTGTCAGGAGCCACGCTCCAGCTGCCATCCAGGCTTCCTTCTGTGGCTGCAGCCCCAGGAGCCTCCAGAACTCCAGCACAGTTCCTGCCCCAGCCTAAACTACCCCACCCGGGTTAACCTGCCCCATGCCAGAGTATGTGTGGCATGGGCGTTCCCCGGGAACAAGTAGCAGCGGCACAAGGTGTGCTGCTGCTACTTGTCCCCAGGGAAAAAAAATGTTCACGCTCATCTGGACATGTCCTTAGAGCGATCTAGAGGGTTTTTTTTTAATTATGTGTCTGCTCCTTCAATTCAGAGGCAGAAAGAAAATCAGTAAGTCCTTTTGGGGAGAGTGAGGAAAACAGCCAGTCTAGCTACAGACAGAGTGGTAGAGGCACAGACAGGCAGACTCATTGTGTCTTCATAAGACGAAGGGATAATGCCTATCAAATGAAAGAAGAAAGGGGCAGAGCCTGCTGCCACTAAGACCTGGCTACCAAGAGTTAGCTGGCATCCCAAGGAAAGAGAGATCTGAGATCCTTCTTGAGCCAGGAATCCTGAGTTGCCAGTAGACCACTACAATAACTAAATAGCGTAAAAATAATATCCAATAACTTTAACACTAACAAAAATATCAATGATATATAATATTTAATATTAATAATATACAAAAACTTTAAAAACCAGCAAAATTGGCACAAACCTTCTTCACAAATTTCTCCTTTGTATCCTGGGACACAGATGCAGACTCCCATGATACAAGTACCATGGCCAAAGCAGGTCGGATCAATACATTGCTCTTCTGGAACATCACACTCTGCTCCTTTCCATCCATTCCGGCATACACAGTGACCTTTCTCATATTCCCCATTTCCACTGCACAGCACGGGGCACGAGTCTAAAGATGAACATCCATTACACATCTATCATTATTTGGTATATAATATTACATTTTTGCAATAGAGTTTAATGGTTATGAAAGACCAAAAAATGGAATACGAACGCTCTGTCAACAAGCATGTTTCACAAGGGTATGAGCTTCCCCACTGTGCTGCACTAATCCCTTAACTCTGACCTAACAGGAACAGCTGTAGAGACAAAGATCAGTCCCTCTGGCTATGGTTACTGTGGTCTCTTTACTAAGACTTTGTACAATGATACATGCTAGTGATAACCGAAGGTATGGGTTCTGTGATGTTAAAACCTGTTAGATGTGAACCAAAATGGGACATTATTATCTCTTCCTTATTATTATTATCATATTATTTCCTTTATACCACTGAACGACCTTAAGATTATTGAAGGTTTGGTCACTACTGCTTTGGAGATACATTAACAATCTGGACGAAAGCCTTTGTACAACCCATTACACAACCGATCCTCAAACTATAATGTAAAGATTAGATTTGAGAGATGAGTAAAATAGATTTGAGGATCTCCAAACACATACTTGGACAATGAATAAGGAAATTGCAGTGCGTTTCTGTGCTGTCTCTGCTCCGGCTGAAGAAAGGGCTTTAGGGCTCTTGTGATATCAGCGTGACATGTTAACGGTACTCAATTCCTTATCCAATTCTCATAGCCATTTATATGAAATACAGATGGTTCACTCTTAATTTTTGTAGTGAACCAATATTCTCTCTTTCTCTAACTCTGAAACCTTAAAATAGCAGGTGATATTTAGGATTGTGGCGAAAAAAAATCCCTTTCCACTCCCATTTTTATATTTCTTTAGATTTTTCTTTTCACTCCCAATCCCAATAATAATGCCACAGAAGTAGTAGCTTGACACCTGTTATTATGCTGAAGCCAGACAATTTTCCTAGTCAGTTTTAAACAACAATAAACTAAATACTAGATCTCATGCTACTTAAGAGTCTGAGACCTTCCATTACAGGGTGGCCAGCGAAAAGGCAAGCGTGGGAGAAACAATGGATCCTAGGAATCATATATTTGTATTTGTGTGTGCGTGTGCATGTGTTTGGTGGGACGTGGGGCAGGAATGAGGGCAAAGCACTTCACAATGGTTGCAGTTGAAGAAAATTGCAGCGTGTTTCTGTGCTGTCTCTGCTCTGGCTGAAGAAAGGGCTTTAGGGCTCTTGTGATATCAGCGTGACATCCAATATAGGTGCTCAGCTCATTTTCAAGAGTAGTTGTCATGTACTTTGAATCGATGTACAGAAGATTACCTTTTGCACAGTCAGGACCAAGGAATCCTGGGAAACAGTGGCAGTGACCTGAGATGCATTCTCCATTCCCATTGCAATTAGTAGAGCAATCATCCATGATTTCTATTCATACAGAAAAGAATAAATACAAAAAGAATGAGCTGACATTTGAAATGAATAGCTCTTCCGGCAACATGCTTTGCAGGACCTCTCTCAAGAAACAAACATGCACCGAAACAGCAAGTTGCTCATTTTCAGGCGTAGACAGCATAAAACAAAGTTTCTTTCAGCAACTTACAAATATTAGCTTTTGTCTTGACAGCTTAGATGTAACAAGTGCAGCATTTATGTTACAAAGGAAAGCTTTTAAAGTAAGTGTTCATGTTAAATTCATCACCATTAAAAACATTAGAAAGAAGAACCTAAGTATCTGTCGAGAATCACTTGTGAATCTTTCCTTTGTTGTTTTACTAATTTGTTTCAAATCTGTTTATAGCAGAAAAAACTTTCCATGGAGGAAGTGTTCATTGAAGTGTCTGGCTAATTATTTTGAGGAGATGGATTAACTCTTGTGTAAAACAGGAATAAAGTATAGTTTAATGTGCAAGGTATATGACTAGCAAAATGTGACACGACCAAGGTCTTTTCACTAAAGCAGTACCCAGATCTGTCTCCACAAGTACATTTCTTTTAAACGTAGATTTAAAGTTTGGAGCTCGTTCCATCTTTTAGCTCTGGGAAAGAAGTCCCTACAGATTACAGATCTGTTCTGTGTCCATTCACAGATTAATATTTCGTTATATAAATCCACATTTTACAAAGTATTTCAACTTACACAGCAGCTTAAAAACAATACATGATCACGCTGTGAACTGTATGCAGCCGTGCAAACATGAGGCTGCCACTGCGAGAGCAAACCTAAATTAAGCACGGCGGAGCCCTGTAGGGCCCTTCCCAGAACATTGAAGGGTAGCAGACTATGGATGGTAGTCTCTAAAATGAGGGAATTTGAGTTCAGCAGAAGAAGTGAGCACAAGGGCTACTGGCTGGTGATAGGGAATAATGAGAGATATAAAAGGGCCTTTGACCTCACCACAAGAAGGGCTCCTGAAGATGGGACACACTTGCCCAAGTAGAAATTCTGTTGGAGAGGTAGAAGAACAGCCTGATGCTCTTTCAGGAAGAGACTCTGTCCACTGCAGCTTTCACCATTAAGCAATGCAGCCCTATGTAATGAACTAAGTCTACTTTTAAACTCAAAATATATACACAACTGTTGATATTTAAATTAAATATTAACTCAGTTCCTCTGCAGTACAGACGATAGGCCTTTTCACAAGTTACGGAAGCTACTTTAAGTCCAAGTCTTCCACTGACATTAGGGTCTCTCAGTAAACTCATTGTAAAAGCCTGGCTAGAGTTGCCTTCAACAGGTAGTCAACAAGAATTCTGGCAAAGTCGGTGCTGCATATGAAGATAAAGCAGCCAGGTTGTATGGACTCCTCTGAGTCTATGTTTCATGGGCATTGCTAAGGAAGATATTGGTGCAAACACAGTACTGGGACAGCAAGAGAAGCTAGTGTCCAACCCAACCTGCAAAGCTGAGATCAGTTCTGGACTTTCCCAGGGTTTGTGGGCACCAGATTGGTGCATTTGTTTATTTCTTTTGTAGAGGAATGAACTAGCTGTGAATCTCGATCTACATACTTCGTCTGAGCTTGCGGAGAAGAAGACTGGGCCAGAAGCCTAATTCAAACCACCTATACGAAGATGCCAGGATTTTGGAGGATAATCAGGGAGAAGTATAAGAGTAGGAAAGAGTTCAGAGTTGGTAGAAGTTAAATAGTTCACATAATTTCAAATGGGTCAGCAACATGTCAGCCTCCCTGAGCATCTTTTGGGGAGGGTGGGATATCAATCTATTAAATAAATATTTTTTTTTCCCCCTCCACCTAGCCTTTTGCCTCCAAGCAGAAGCAAAATTCACCTTCAGCTTTCCCGGAGATGGAAGAATGCAGGGCAAACTCCTTTAATACTAAATTATGGGTCTATTGGACATGAAAGATTACATAATTGTGTCTCTTCTCCTTGTAAGAGACTCTCTTTCCATTCCAAACATACGAAGTGTCAGCTTATTTCATGAGGAAATTCCCCCTGCAATTCCTCACTGCCTTTTTGATTAGTTTGAGGCAAGTCCTTGATCATCTTTGTTTGAATGGCACTCTCCATTGTCCCATACATCAAGGTCTTTAGCATCGAGTAAAAATAGAATTTAATTGTTAGAGAGAGCAGATGGTATGTCCATTACTAGTAAAGACATCTTGCTAAACATATGGCTGAACAGGTTACCTAAAGGGCAAAGTGGTTAAAGTCTTACAGCAAACAAAGAATGCCATAAATTCCAAAGCACTTGGCCATAAATTAAAGTTGTAACAAATACTGTTTGTTACAACTTCCCAGCAGCAATATTCAGAGCCAGGAAAATATTAAGCCCCCCAAAAGGTTTGATTCACCAAGAGGTCACAGCAGGAGCCTCCTGTAGCAGGTAGATATTTCTTTCCTCACCCAAAATGTGCAAAAGCTGACTTCTATCTTTTCTGCCTCGAGAGAGAGAAGGAGAACCAAGATCACAGATATTTCTCAGGCAGTACAGATCCTGCATAAAAAAGCTTGTGCAAATTTTCCCCTTTTAATTTCTGCCAATAGATCACCAGAAGGTACTCATGCATTCAACACTACTTTTATACTGATATTAAGAGATGTCATTCATTAATTACCTACTTAATTACCTGATAATGTCAATTTTTTAAATATAGGAATGTCTAATAGGGCTGTGCAAAGCTTCGGTTGCTGATTTGATTTGGGGGAGATTCAGCCTGATTCAGTGGCCAAATCTCTGAATCGAAATCAGGAGACCCATTCATTTCTCTGAATTGAATCGGAAGCCTCCGAATCGATTCGGGCAGATTTGACGATTTGGGTGGGGGACCACCCCAGCCCTGTGGCTCGGTGACTGGTGCCTCCTGGGATGGGGGGGGAGGGGGGGTGGGCAGCCAGGGTTCCCCTGCAGCCAATCACCAAGTACTTCCGGTCCACTTCTCCCTCATGCTCCTGTGGGATGCTCCATCCGTCCCAACATCTCAGCATTCACGAGCCACACCCGGTACCTTCAGGTACGTAGAAAAACATATAAAGCTGTGTCTATGGCCGAATCGCTCGTTCTCCAAATCAGAAACGAATCCTCAGATTCAGATTAAGCCAAACTGAATTGGGACAGTGACCCGAATCACCAAATCAAATCACTGTTCCCTCAATCGGGCCGAGTCAGAATCAAATACTGCCCGCTTTGCACACCCCTAATGCCTGATTCTTTTCTTATGCCTAAGTAAAGCAGAAGTATCTCCTCTGAAGGCAATCAAATCATAGCTCAGTAAAATCTGTCCATGTCAGATTAGATTTAGGCTCAAAAAGTCTTTTTCAAATGCAGTTTTTAAATACAAGAATGTGAATAAGAATGGCAGCATAATTGTTCTTACCAATTGCTGTAGTTAGCACAAATACTTGCTCCATTTTCTTTCCATCATTGTAAAATGCCATGTGCCAAACCCCCTGATCCATATATTCAATGAAACCTGTCTCTTGCAGTGAGGTTAAGATCAGATTCCTAGGCGCATGCTGAGACTCCTCTGAGTTCCTTGGCTCTTGTTTAATTAACTGTTTTCCATCCATCAGTTTTACAAAATCAAACTGAAATAATAATGGAAAAAATTATCTTAACTAGACTATTTTTATAGTGTTGTAAACCAGGCAAAGTTACTATGCATGTCTCAATCAAAAAGGGTTAGACAGTGTAACTCTCCAAGGGGCTGTTTGACTGAGCATTCACCAATAGGCGAGTTGTACAACCTTGGCTATTAAGCTTCAATTCTTCATTCTGTACAAGGAGTAATTACTGATCAGAGATTTAGGATGAGATCTTACTCTTCATATTGTAGCAGTTTGAATCCAAACTTATTCCTTTAAATTGACTCCAAAATTACATCTTTGTAATTACAACTTTGTAAAATGTTTAAACTTCAGTGCCTATGTTAGACATCCACAAGATTGAGGTGCCAGCATGAAGATTTAGGAGTTGAAGTTTTGACACTGAGATACAAAGACATTTGGCCTTAGTAAATACTGAATACATACACTTTCCCTTTTTCTTTGTGGTTGATTTTACTAATACACATAAAAATATATAGCTTGATATGGAAAAACTTGCAATATTTATTGGAGCTGCTAACTGACCTATAAGGCCAGGGTCAGTTGATTTCTAAGGGTGCTGGATCAGGCCTTCAACGCAGTTGAAAAAACGACAGCCATTTTTTTTTAAACCCCCAAACCAATCCATTTAATGAAAACACAAAATATTGGGAGTATCTGTAGATACCTGCGATGTCTGATATTTTAAGGATGCTGAACAGTTACAACTTCAGAAAAGGCCATAGGAGCTATGAGTAGTTATCGTCCCAAGACTAAAATTCTCATGGACCTACTACAAGATTTCAGGAGAGCATTAACAATGTTTAGATATTCCCCTGACCTGTGATCCTGCTCCATCATAACTCAGATAGCGTCTCATTAAACTTCAGAAACATTCATTTAATGCTCCAAATATGGCAGACAGGAAAATCTCTCAATATGAAAAGTATTAGCTAGATTTCCTTCTCAAAACTTACTAGGAGTAAACATTCACAACTTATTCTATGATTAAAAGTTAGAACTTGCATATCATTTTAACACGAAGTTAAGTAATTACTGGGAACTCAGCTGCAAAAAAGACTGAAGCTTTTTTTCTTTTATCTATAGCTGTCACACCGTGCTGACCTGAAAGATGAACCAGGGGATGCCTGCCCTTGGTGTCTGGCCAGCTCTATGGCTGTACAAAGCAGTGGTAGTATCCTGCTGAGATAGCAGTAGTATCCTGAATTGTCTCCTCCTAATTTGCATAGAGGTATTTAGTATTGCTAACAGCCCTGTTGCTATCCACTCTTTGTGCCTAGTCTTGGATTGCAATTGGACCATTAGAAGGGAGGGAAAAATGGATAAAGGTTAATATTTACATCTAAGCATCCCTTCCTGGCTTTGTAATCATGTTCTGAACATTAATATCCACAGAGGTCTTTGAAAATGTAAAGCACAATAGAATTGCTAAGTATTATTATTATTAATTACCTGAGTGTGAGTGGGTGGAATGTTTCTTCTGCCATAAATTCCCAGCAGAGAGTCCTTTGCCAGTGAAATGTTAAATTTCAGGTACACTGGGTGATGGATAGTAATTTGAAAACGCCAGAATAAACCTGGTGGGATGGTCTGCATAACTTGGGCTCCAATCTCAACTTCTCCTGTGTCTATGGCCCGTCCTTTCTGAAACACTAATTTCCCAGAAACAAAGAAAACAGTGAGATGCTGTATACACGTAGAATGAAAATAAGAGGGTAGGTGGGTAATCAGTAGTAGCTTTTAAGCATATATGATGTAGAAAATTAGCTAAGCATTATTCAACTGATCTCCAAATTAATTAATCTGCAAACACCATTTACAGCTACACACAAGGTAAGAGATGCAAGGCAAATGAGTCTCAGTGTAGCCAGGAAAATGGGAGTCACTGCATGTAGATCTTAGGATACACAAACAAAACCTTCTAGCAGAAGCATGTACTAACAGAACACAGATGGGAGAGCTGACAGTTATCCCAGACTGCAGCCTGATGGGATGCTGTGTAAACTGAATAAATGGACACCACCGTAGACAGGGAGGAAGACCATCAGGGTCTGGTGGTGAAAGCTGAAGGCCAAGTCTGGATTTTTCCTAGCCACTATTGCTAATGAGCTTATTATGATAGCGATAACCTAGTTCTAGAAACATATAAAAAAAACCAAACATCTGTTGTTGGTTGGACCTGCCATGTAGAAGACAGATATAAGATAATGGGGCATAAGGATGAAAGCAGGCATTAAATCTGAAGAGATGCTTGGCACAGTTTCATTGTACCTAGCAGTACATTTTCAGACACCTACAGTATGTAACTTCATGCAATGGTACGCGAGTACCGAAATATGCAGGGAAGTGGAAGAAGCACAGAAGGCATTGCCAAACTGAATCGGAATTGGCTTGCTTTGCTGGCTTGTGTCACTACCTTTATGTTTCTTACAGCTTGCCAGCAATTAGCATCCTGCCTGGCAGCAGATCATGGATCAATCCTGCTACCATCACAGTTAATTCAATTGTAAAAAAAATGCAAAGATCTCAGGCCCTTGAGCAGAAGCAGGATAAGATCCTATGTTGGGACCTAAAATATATGGGCTTGACCTCAGGAGTCCAGTCCATTTATGCATCACCTCATCCAATAACACACAGACCCAAAGGGAAAGGAACTGAATGGGAATCTCACACAGCTGTGTATTTAACAAGTAATAATACAAAATGTATATAGAATATGGTAAACTGCTACCTAAAAAAGAAAACTGTAGGAAAGCTGTGGCTGGGTTTTCCCTTAGCGTATTAATAGCATAAAGATCCTTGGTGAGATCCCACATGGGTTTTGAGAAGCGTGGGTGGCAGATAACTTTCTTTATGAACACAGCCTTAATATGTTAGGGAGGAGGGATTCCCAGGACACTGGATCTGCCAGATCTGTGGCTTCTCTATGTCACCAGAATATAGCAACACAGCCAGGGCAGGAGCCAGGAGGTGGTTCTCAATCTAGCGATGCGAGACGTGAACAAAACAATGCAATGGGACCAAATGTGGAACATGCAATATCAGAGTAGAGGATGAATGTTCTAAGAAACCAGAAAGAAATATGTTACTCAGTTTGCATTAGAATAACTTCTAACTGGTCCTTTAACAATATTTTGGAGTGAGCCTAAACTTTTCTCCCGTTCCCTTTCCCGAGTACTCTGGAGACAGCAAATCTTAATGATTCTTTCCATGCAATTACCCTAGGCCAAGTAAAACACCACGGAACCTTTTGGTGGTATTGGCACATCATAATTGAAGCAATTCAATTAGGAGGTTTTCAGGATATAACTGTAAGGTCAAGGACACAATACTGGTTTTAAAGATAGTAGCATTATCAGTTAGTATTTTATAAATATGATAATTAGACCAAAATAAATAGGCCTGCTGCTTCATTGAACAATGTCTTTGTTATGATTTAGACATAGATACAGTTGCAGGAAGAATATTTTTTAGTGGTGCAATAAGATTTGGCTGAACTGTGTGTCAGTGCTAATAATCTTGAAACAGTATCTCTCAAAGGATACCTGATTCTTTTTCAGCAGAGGATGTCTTAGTTTAAATTTACATATCCTTTAAACATTCCTATTTTTAGTTTTACCTCACTATAAGTGGAAGAAATAAATGTTGGCATACATAGTCTTAGTCACTTGGCATACACCGTTACAAAGGAAGTGAAATAAAACACCTAATTTCCTAACACTGTTTAGTTGCATTACCATATTTATTTGATCCCAAGACAAGATACTTTCCCCCCCGATTGGTATAGGGAAAAAAAAGCCCTGGTCTTATATATCACATAGAAAGAAATATCACTGAATACATTGTCTGTAATTAAACTGCTGCCAAAATAGCATTTGCTCAGCAATGGAAACCAGCTATGAAGTTGATGAAATGCAGCCAACTGAGTATGGCTATAAAACACATGGCCCACATTGGGCAAATATGCTGGGTTTGTTTTTTTATTTCATTTTAAGGGCCAAATCCATTCTGAATTCTACTGGGAAAAGCCCAAGTTCCAAATTTCAACTGAGCAGAGTCAGTTCAAATCTGTATGGTTCTACCACTGGGAAAATATCTTCCCTCTCAGACCCATTGGTCTGGAGCTTCAGATAACTGCCCAAATACATGGCAGGCATCCTATGTACAAGCCCCCAACCCAGAGGCCTTGAGGTTTGGATGCTCCCTAGTTTTGCCTGTTCCAAGCTAAAAGGTCGAGGAGCAAGCCATGGGGAAAGTGGGAATGAAGTACCCCATTACCACAAAATTGTTCAGTTGAGTTTCCTGCATTTGGGGAAGCTTGCAGGGGTCAGCCTGCCCAGAGTGCAAGGGACAGACCTCACCCTATAACTACACTTGATTGACTGAGAGGATCATGGGATCTCTCCTGCCAGGCAAGCATGATTGGGAACCTACTATATGTTAATATAACCCGTCTGAATAAGACAAACAGTAGTGCCCATTAAATGCAGTTCCCCTCACCGCTGACTCTTTCCCAAGTCATGGTGAGCTACAGCATTGCTCTCTGTTGCCTCCTCTCAGCATACGATAAGTGTTGCCCCAACTTGAGGTAAAGCTGTACCAGGTTGCCCTGTGCCTCATTTGCATATAAGTTTTTGGGGCATCCCAGGACAAGAACACCCAGTTCCAGTCATGAGTGGGGGCTGATTAGCACTTGGATCCTTTGTGTGGGGTGTATCTGGAGTAAACACATATTGAGCAGTGCTGAGCTGTGGGGCCAACTTGGAGGGTGGGGCCACACTAATCATATGTGCCAGGCTGAGACAGGGCACAACAGAGGGATTCTGGGTGTGCAATGTTATGGCTCACCATGACTTGAAATGCTGTGCAGTGAACTATGGGGTACATCATGAGCTTTTTGGATGTGGACTAAGACCACACATTGTTTACTTGGCACAGGAGATACCATGATTCAGTTTTTTGACTAAGATCAAGCAAGCAAGACTAGGGACATCTGCACCCCAAGCATCTGGACCTGGGGCTTGCATGTAGGATGCCTGCTTGGATTTTGGGAAATATCTGAAGTCCCAGACCAATGGGTTTGGAGGGAGGACCCTTGCCTACTGGCAGTGCCCCACACACTTAATGGCTGAACTCTGCTCTGTCAAATTTTGGAACTTGACTTTGCCCAACTGAATCTGGGACTGATTTGGCCCTTGAAAAGAAATATATAAAAAAAAAATTATATGAAGTGCTGCTCAAAACTGTGTTTATGAAACACCTGTGCTAAAACTTGCAGCAGTCTTAAAAAATAAAGGTAACATGCAACAGTTCTGGATGAATGGGTACTATATGCAAATTGCTACAGCCATGTTTAAATTGCAAGGTTGTTGTTTTCAAGTTTGCTCCTCACTTCCACGTGCTCAGGAAGAGCAGGGTATGACA